GGAGAGGCAATAGATAACTTTGAGAGCGCTTGTAAACTATCTTCAACTATTAATTAAGACCCAATGACAGAGAAAATAAATGAGGACATTCCTGAAGAAAATAAAGGAAAAAAATAAATCCCTACCCATTAACGAATTCTCGTTTTCTGCAATTGATTTTACCAGTTCATCAAGGTGTGGCTTGAATATGGAAGGAAATCGTGATGAAATATCCTAAACGAATGGGAGATTGATTGATGACCCGGTAAGTTTTTACTGAGAAATTAGACAGGCATCATAGATACCTTAAATAACTCGTGTGCCACATTGGAACTTGAATTTTGTTCTGAATCAGTCGACTTAATTTTATTTAAAAGCAATGGCACCAAGTCCCGATTTATAATGGTCATGCTGACCCGTCGAATAAGTATTGTGAATGTTTCTAGTGATGAAGCAGCCTTCTGACCAATACGTTTAAGGGCATCTTCCTATTTAAAGTGGGTTAAATTAACGTTATCAAATTCCACGAAGTAACAAGAAAGATTCGTACTATTGCGATAATTACTTCAGATTTTTTAACGGTCCCATAATTTGAAAGTGGATTCATACAATCTCTTATCATCTTACAACACCGGGTATCTTGAAGTCCAGGAAAAGACGATAGATTGTTTGCTGATTTTAAAGGATCAGGTAATTTCTCTAGGTGAAATAAGCGTTGTAATAAGAATGATGGAAAATATTGGACAGGATGTTGATATTAAAAAGAAATGTCCTCACCAGAAATTCGTCGAACAACTTGATTCAGAATGTTTGAATATTTTTCACTTTCTTCGTTAATAATATCATCCTGCAAATTTGAGAAATACGAATATATAGAAATAAAATTACGTCGATAAAAAGCAAAAACTTCATCTCCACTTTAAATCTCAAACCTTATATTTTTCACATAGACTCAAATATGTATTCATGTCACTTATCGCACTTTGTTAAGAGAAAAGTAATAGATGAATTAATAGAAGTTCAAAAGAAATTAACAAGAGGTACGTTTTTCAGCTTACTCTCGTTGTCTTTGGAACAGTGAACAGAAAGCTTTTTTTGCCTTCATGTCAAGGGACCCGAAAACGACGAGTAGCCTATCCATTCGAGCCGCTTCTTCGTTCACAGATGTAAGTATCTCATCGTGCAAAGCCTTTTCGACACTTACTCTGCAAAATTAAATGGAATCTTGGTCAGAATAAAAATTCGTCATACAAAAGACCAAACAAACCTAATAATAATTCAATACATTATTTCATTGTCATTGGTATATAACGTATTCAGTATTTCTGAGGGAATCCACCCAAATTTTTCTGTCGCGTTTGCGTCGCGGTCAACGCTAATGTTATTTTGATGAAAAATCGTTATTACCGAAAAATTCAATAAAGATTTATAATTAATATCACTCTTACATTTCCGTATAAGCCAGTTTATACAAACGGGCTAATGCTTTAATGGCTTCTTGCCTGACGCCATGCTACACGAGTATTCGCGTTATTTAAAATTTGATACGTAGGTTCTTTGATTCACGTGACATAAAATTAAAGCGTACTTTGCGATCACGGCAACGCTTTGATAATTCCAAAAACAACTCTTTCCCCACAAGTTTAGAAGCACACTCGTAGTCCAGTTGACTGAAAACTTTACACACGGCAATGCGAACTT